CACATTCACACGCTCTGTTTCTTTCCACATCTCACTTTATTTGCTTGTCCTGCCCACGGCCTCTACCCACAGGCATGCAAACTGCACAAGGACAAGCACCTTATTTTAACTATTGTGGTCTCTTCAGCTTCCTCCTCAGAGACCGGAACTAACAGGAGCTCAGAAAATGGCTGTCAAATAAATGCGCGAGAAGTATTGTCCCACGTTAGAAACGGGGTACCTGAACCCTATAGCACTCATCATAACTGTGCCAAGTGACAGAGCTACCTGGGTGCCGTTTATATCACATCTGCATCTGGACAACTCTTGGCCAGGTTCAGGCTGCTATACCGAGGTATTTCAGACTAGATTGCTTAGGAACAACAGAAATTCGTTTCTTACCGTTTTTTGGATCTGAGCTCAGTTGCCAGCATGGTCAGGGTCCAGTGAGGGCCTCTTCTGGATTGCAGACTGCCAACTTCTCCTTGAAGCCTCAGGCTTTCTGGCCTCCTCCTCCTCCTCCTCTTCTTCTTCTTTTTTTAAATACTTTTATTTATTTGTTTATGTATGTATGCATGTATTTATTTATTTATGTGGTGCTTAGGATTGAATCCAGGGCCTCGCACGTGCTAGGCGAGTGCTCTACCGCTGAGCCACAACCCAGCCCTCTGGCCTCTTCTTATCCAGGCATTGATCCCACTCAAGGGGCTCCACTCTCATGACCTGATTACCTCCCAAGGCTCTACCTCCAAAAGCTGTCATATTGGAATTAAAGTTTTGACATGAACTTGGGGGCCACCAGAACTCCGTTCACTGTGAGATGCCTCACTTTCCACCTTTATGGCAATAATTTCTACCTGGAGGGAAACAGGCCCAGAGAGGGTATGTGACTGGTCCAAGGTCGTGGAGCTGGGGGTGGTGGGGGTGACAGAACAGGGATTTGAACCAGTCGTTCAGCTGCAGGGCTCTCTGCTTTTACACTTTATCTAGGAGTCATCTCGAAGGCAGGTTTGCTGGAGGAACCAGCCAGAGAACAAATTGGAAAGCTCTTTGTCAACTGTCCCAAAGTTGAGTGAGAATTTCTCACATGAGAAATGCGTGTGGGATCCCCACCCCTTGAACTTGGACAAAGCTAGGGGTGAGTTCAGGAGCTATGTTGGAGGCAATTGCTCCAGTGGGAAAGCCACTGAGCTCACCCAGGACACTGGGTATTCCATGTGAAGGTCTCATTGCCAGGTCTGCAGAGATGGTTCATATGGAGGCTCTGGGCATGACTTGTTAGTTCTGCTTCCAGAATATTCTGACATCACCATCCAAATAGAACATCTATTTGGGCTACCATCTGGGCGAGACATCCTTGCCTGAGCTAAGTCCTTAAAAGCAGAACCTGTGTTCTCTGCAGTACCTCACACAGGGTCACAGGCACATATGAAATGTTCAGTAGATGCTCCATGAACAGGTGTGGCTCTTTGCACCCCCAAACAGGTATTCATGTTAGACTTGTGTTCCCTATAGTACTAGTCTTCCCTATGCTCATCCACCTGACACAGTGTTCAACCCTTTTTCCAAATCCAAATATGGAATTAATGCCCTTCCAGGCTCATGAACTTTCTCTGGAATTTCACTGTCCAAAGAAAAAATTTCAATGATTCTATAGTTAAAAAGAAAAACCAAAAACCAAAGCCTTACACAGCCAAAGAATGTCAGCCCCAGACAGAGGCCCAGGGACCATCTTCCGTGTCTCTGACAAATCTCCCCCACCCCTACTTTTATAGAGTTCTGAAAAGGGAAAAATGAATGAACCAGGGATGCAGTGGAGGAAGGCCTGGCACCCAGGTCTCCTGATGGCCAGTCCAGTGGTCTCCTGTGAGCACAGTAAGACAGGAAAACGTGAATACAAAGTCACCAAGAGCAGCTTCCTGTTTGAAGGTGGCTGAATTCTCTCTCCACTCTGTCATGGTAACCATTTTCATAGTTTCATCCACCTTTGGCCTCTGATCCATGAACTAGATAATTAATCAGGCTTTTGAATAATTAGAACTATTAAAAATGCCTCTGTACCTGCCAAAATTGCTCCAGCAATTAGTGCCTTATCAAGAAGCGGGTTCCAAGGACTGGAAGACATTTCCGATGGATAGAGAGCATTTTCACTGGAGGGTTTGTGGATTCAGAAGTCGAGGCTGGAGTGTGGTCTACACAGCAAATAGCACCAATTCTTATCTCTGAAATCTCCATAGAACCTCCTCTCATTCTAATGGTAGATATAATATGCCTTATTCATTGCTTTCAGAGACTTCAATAAAATGTAATCATTAATTAAAATATTGGATGGACTTCTCAATTCAACATCCACTTTCCCACACATAAACTCTCCCAGGGGCAAAAGAAATATTAGTGCTTGGTTGTTTTTTTTTTTGGGGGGGGGTACCACCGGGTCCTTCCTAACCCAGTCAACACCTGTGCTGAGCTCTAAGCCAGAATGTTCTGTCCCCAGAGCTTTGCCACTTACTTCCTTGTAGTACCTCCCGGTGGATGGATTTATTTAAAATCCAGCTCCAGGTGTGAAGGCTGCAGACTTCACGTGGATTCGTGGAGCTCTGTGGAACTCTGGTGGACATTCTCGGGAAGCTGGGTGCAAAACAAGGGCCACGAGTCCAGGCTGATGGACTGAGGTTCTCTGTCCAGCATGAAAAAAGTGCCTCTCATTTTCCTCTCTCTCATTTTCTGAGATGGGGATTGTAATGCAGGCTTGCCAGGCTGGGAAGAGTGAGTGAGATATCGATATCACACCTAATAGGTGATTATGTGTGTCCGGGGACCTTCACAGGGATTTCCCTCCAACCTCTGCCAGCTGCAAGGGGATCACATTCCATTGTGGTTTGACCGTGTGGACTGACGGCTTCTATTTGTGAGTTTGCTAAAGGTTGACCCTAGTCATTGTCACTTAACTAGGAGATGGTTCATTACCAAAGGTACTTTTTATGGTTGGAGCACCCAACTCTCAGCTAAATCCAATGATGGAAATGGCCCCTGCAGCTGATGTGGGCTTCCCTGAACACGCCCCCTGATTTGTATTAACCACGAAGACCTCATGACTTCTGCATCTTCTTCAGCTGGAATCCTTGTCCCTTCCTCGCCCCCACATCCTGTCATTGCTACCTCTTAAATATTTCTTGGAGATCTCCCCTTGGTCTCAATGTTATTGTTTGGATGTGAGGTGTCCCCCAAAGCTCATGCGTGAGACAATGCAAGACCTTTCAGAGGTGAAATGATTGGGTTAAGGGAGCCTTAACCCAGTCAGTAAATTAATTCCCTGACGGGGATTAACCGAGTGGTAACTGAAGGCAGGTGGCCTGTGTTTGGAGGCCATGGCACGGGGGATGTGGCTTTGGGGTATATATTTTGTGTCTGGCGAATGGAGCCTCTCTCTCTCTGCTTCCTGATCATCCTGTGAGCTGCTTCTCTCCACCACACTCTTCCACCCTGATGTTCTGCCTCATCTTGAGCGCCAAGGAATGGAGCCCACTGTCCATGGATGGAGCCCTCTGAAACCGTGAGCCCCCAAGTAAACTTTTCCCCTTCTAAAATTGTCTTGTCAGGTCTTTTAGTCACAGTAGCGAAACAGCTGATTAAAATACCCCACAAGTGCTGCCCTGGTCAAGTCTTATAATCTCTTACCTGAATGCATGACAGGATATAACAAATTAATATATATTAATAATAAAAATAAAAGAAACTCCCTTTTGGGGCACGGCATATGTTAGGTGGCGTCACATAGTGGTGAAATGTGGAATGGCAACCCATCTCTACCGGCACATAAAAATATCCAGGAAAAAGCCGGGGCAGGAAAGCAGAGCTCTTGGAGCTGTGAGTGTAGGGAGAGGGCAATTTAGAAACCTCTGCACTAGTGTATATCATGCTCTGTTGTAATGATCTGTCCTTTGTGTGACTTTCTCATTGGAAGGTAAGCTCCTTGAAGCCATCACAGGGTCTTAATTTCCTCACACTAGATGTGAGATGGGCACATGGTAGATGATCAAGAATAATTTGTTAAAATAAATATGGGTAAGATTCTCATCAGATGCTGGGATGCCATCAGAAGTAAACTTGGTTGACTCTGGGAGGAGCCACACTAGCTACTGTGGGATCAGACCAGCTGGGGTGGGGTGGGTGATTAGACATAACTAGTATGGGGTGATGTTGGGGGTAAAGTTCAGCATACAGTGGCTTAGGACTGAGGCAGTGGTTCAGACACAAGGGTGTGAGGCAGGATCCTTTCCCAGATCTAGAAAACAAGAGCTTAGTCAGAAGGGTCAAGACAAAGGTGTTGGCTGCCTTTCGGGGCCAGAATCAAAACTTTCACGGGACCAGCAATCAGACTGATCTGAGAGCAAGTCATCAGTACTACCCAACCAGGGCCCCTTCAAGGCCCTCCCAACCAAGGACAGGGCTGGTCACAGCATCTGGGGAAGGAGTGGTGATATGGGTGTCACCCAGCAGGGGCACGTTGTTTCAGATGGGAATGATGTTTGTAGGACCGTGTGAGGGAGACGATATTTTATAGTAGTTAAGAACACAGGCTCTGGAGTCAGACAACTTGGGGGCTGAATGAGATTGCTGTTCTGGGTGTTGGTTTTCACATCTGATACGTAGAGACAAGAATGCCTGTCACATAGACTTGTTGTAAAGATAATATGCCAGAAGATGCTTATATGATGTGTGGCATATGATAAATGATCAATAAACGGTAGCTTTTAACTACAGCTATCATTACCAAGCTGGGTAAGTGTGTTAGTATAAGGGAGGAAAAGAGTAACTTAGCAGTTGATGACATGGAAGTGGCAAGTAATACCCAATTTCCTCTTCTAACATTTGTGGCAGTTTGAGTCTAGTATCCAGCACAGTTTTGGTGGGCAGCTACCCTGGTACAAAGCTCAGAAGAATCACGGCTTTGAGTACCTCTTTCTGGGAACCAATCAGGATAGTCCAGCTTACACAGCTATAACAAACAGCCCCCGAAATTGCCGTGGCTTAAAACAAAGGTTTATTTATCAGCTCACACTGTGTGCCCATTATGAATTGGCAAGACACTCTCTGCTCCATGTCTTCTTCATCCTGGGACCAAGGCTGCCTGAAATATGGCAAAAGAAAAGAGAGAGAATAGCATGTCACTCACTGCCTGTGAAGCTTCTGCCTAGAGGCAACATGTGTCGCTCTTGTTCTCCTTTTGGTGGCCAAATCAAGTCACCTGGTCACACTGAATTCCAAGGGGATAGGGAAGTGTCATAGAGCAATGCCTCTAGAAAAAAGAATGGGAAATACCCAGTGAACAAGACGAATGGCCACTGCATTCTCTAAATTTCCCCATTTAGTCCTCCAGGAGAACAGGCTCACTCTGACTTGGGGATACCATTTGTTGTTGTTGTTGTTTACTGCACCTATCCCCGATTGATTCTCAGAACCAACATAGTCTCTCTGACCACAGGGAGGAGTACATGACTCAAGTTAGGTAGATCATGGCATTTTGTCACTCAACCATCATCACGGATTCAAAGGATGGACACGTGACCAATCAGGATCCTTCAAATTGGCAGTGGGAGAGGAAAGCCCATTTTCCCCTGAATCTGGAGTTGGGAAGCCATGAGCATGCCTTCAGCCTCACTCTCAGCTCCTTGGTGAGAAGATCTGGGGGGAAAGAACTGATGACCTGAGCAAGGGACGAAGAGGCTGAGCCCTCCTGAAGGCTGACAACCCTTCCCATCTGGGCTGCTCCTGAGCTTACCGGCCTCCAGATCCCATGCCCAGCCTTTTCCTGCTCCGCTCTGTGTTCCGAGGGGCTGACCCCTGGAGCTCTAGTTCCCTAGGCTTTTCATCTGGCTTCCAGTGGTGTGGCCCAAACCAGGCACTGACTAGGTGCTGGGAGGTCCAAGAAAAGGAGAAGCAAGGGGATTTCCTGTCCTTTTTGTGTTGGGGGATTTCTCCAGCCACAAAGGAATATCCTCATGGGCTTCAGCTTCCCTGCACACACCTGTCAAGGTCTAGCTTCTGTGTATTAATGTACTCCTGGGCTTCCAGGCCTTTGTCCCTCTGTTTTAGGGCTGGGATTAGCTTCTTGCTCTTACAGACTTCTAAGTTACCTTCCTTCTCTCAACTCCTTCATCATCTGTGTAGCCAATTTCCTGCATCAAATGCCTCCGTGGTCAATACTTGAAGCAGTTTCTAGGTTCGACCCCGAGTGACCAACTGCTATTGGATTAGGTGAGCCAACACATTTTCTCCTTAGCTTAAGCGAAGTGGAGACCATTTCTGTTGCTTTCGACCTGGAGAATCTGGACCAATGTAGTAGTCAATAGGAAACCAGTAGCTACCAGCTCCTGTGCATTTACTAGATGCCAGGTATTGTGCTCAGCACTTTGCTTTCATGATGGAATCCAGGGGGTAGAGCTTGTGAGCTCCATTCTATAGATGAGAAAGTGAAAAATACAAACAGGTTAAGTAGTTTTAATCCCAATCAGCTTTCTTTTCTTTAAATGAATCTCATCCAGAGCCAACTGCTCCATTAAGGAAGGAAGGGATTCCCCCAGGTATGTTGAGGCTCAGGGGTAGCAAGACCAGAAAGGAGGTGAGGAATGACAAAAAGCAGGTACATGTGCTATCTTGTGACATGGCCCCGAAGCTTCACATCCTTCTCCCAGGATGGAGTGTAATGAGGGGAAAGAGCTCCATGGAAATGAGCTTCGGCCACCTCTGCTGTGATTCAAGTCAAGTTCTTGCTACTAATTGCACACACACTTCGCTAAAGGTAGTAAATAGGAATCATTCACGCGTCCTTAGAGACGGCGGCGCCATTCGGTATTCATGGCAAATGTATCACCGAGCTTCATAAGAGAATCATTTTAAAACAAAGCTTGGTCAGCTGTTTAATAATTTACTGATAGTGACAGCAGGGGGAATATCTAATAACCAGTGAGATTGGCTTTCAAATGGAAAATAAATTCATGTTAGAAAGGTTAGAGGAGGGAAAAAAGGGAAAGGGGAGAGGCATTATTAGCAACAAGGAAATATTTAACATTTGTCAATGGCTGATTACTTTGAATCCTATCAGAGTTGAGAAGTTTGATTATTAAGAGCTTGCAAAATTCCAGGCATTTCACTTAAAAGCTATCAGGGGCCGTTAGTGTTCTTCTCCTAGGAAACAAGAAGTCTACAGGGGTCTGGTCTCCTGAAGCGGGGGTTTGACTCCACGTGGGCACTGGGATAGCATCATCTTTGTCAATTTGAGGACTGTTTAGGGGATATATGATGTCCATGAACCATCTGTCCATGGTTCCTAGGGAAGGTACAGACTAAGAAAAAACAAAATGAGACCAAACTACAAGTGTACGTACGTTCTCCTGCTCTCGGGAAAACATATCCCAGAACTTATTACATGGGATCTGGCTTCTGGGTAAACCGAACCCTATTTATTTTTGCTTACTGGCCAAGCTCTATTGAAATGTCTGTAAAACAAAAAGGGTTTTGAGATGGATGGACTTGAAGTTCCCTGATGATTCTGGTATTGTTGGTCCAGGATTGGGAGACACAATTACAGTGACACTAACATGTACAGGAGTGGTTGAAAGGAATATGAAATCTAAAGCCAATACTGATCACAAATTGACAGACCTCCCTGTGCCTCAGTTTCCTTATCTATACGTGAGAATCATAGGGTTGGTGATGCACATGAGGCCTGTAGCTGCTCACGGCTCAGAGTCAGCGCTCAAAATCTCTGAGTTCAAACACTCCAGAGGTAGAAGCAAAACCAAAGTGAAAAAATCCCCAGAATCATCAATCTTTAAGCTTCAAGGGCAGACAGGGCTGTACTGTGTTGTGGGTAAAGGATTTCCCTTGCACCTTCCCCATACCCGTCAGCCCCTCCTGCAAGCACAGGCACATTCTGTCCTCAAACCGACCCCAAATTGTGCCACTCTGGAGACCGGCATCCAGGTACAACAGATGCTGTGTTCCCAGGTGGTGTTTTCCGTGGTTTTCCATGCCAGGTTTGTACCCTCCATTCTTCACATTCATTTCAACAAACTCTCATCCTGCCTTAAGTTTATAACATTTTTTTTGGCTTGTAGAAATAACGACTTGTCAACATGAGAATGGCTTGGATAAATGTGTGCAGTCTGGACCATTATGCCCCTGAATAATCTCAGTGGGCTCCAGGGTCCTCTGCCATCTCCCCAGCTCTGTTCTGTGGAGGGGTGAAGGGGATTCTGGGGGCTGATGCTCACTGCTAGGAATTTGATGAAATGTTCTTCTATGGAGTGTCACAAAATACTTCTTAAGCAGATACCGTTTTCAGAAACTTAAGGAACTAGGAGTATTTATGCCACTGGATTAGCTATGGAATTTCTGGCTGATTGGAAATGTTTTGAGAACAGCATTTGTGCTTTGATGAAGACGAAAGGGTGGCTGTGTGTACAAAACACAGAGTCTATGTGGGTGTGAGGGGTTGGAACACGTGTTAGGTGAGAGGAGGAGGAGGTAGGTAGAGGACAGAACTTGGCTAACTGGTTAGGTCTCCAGACCACTTACTGAAGGGCCTCAGCAATGTTCTGTCTCCTAAGTGAGGTGGGCAGATAATACTGGACTGGGTAAAACCACTGGGAAGAAATACACCTCGCGACTCCATTCTGTCTTTGCAGGATTGTCAGTTGTGGTGACCGTCCTCATCGGAGAGAAGTGAACAATGACCTCGGCTGGTCAATTAGATACCTATCCCTTCCCTTCCTGAACCAAATCGATTAGTTCAGGAAATGGAATGTGAACCAGATCAGCCCCTCTGTGTCTTTACTGGGTCTTTCTCTGGATAGAGTTGGGGAGGATGCTGCAGAAGGTCTCATCTTTTACTGAGGGTGCTAAGATGGGAGAACTGTATATGGTGTCATTATCCAATTTTTCTGACTACTGATGGAAATGCAGCTGAGATGTGGAGAGGGGGGGGGGTTAGGAAAGAAGGGGTGGAAGGGGAGGGAGAGGCCGACCCCATCCACCTGGAGGCGGCTCTGCACCTCTGGCAGACAGGCCACTAAAGGCTCCAAGCCCTCTGTGGCGAATCCACAGTGATGAGCCCATCACTACTATGTCTCTTCCTACACCCCCAAGAGCCTTTTTTTTTTTTTGGATCCTCTCTTAGGACTGGGTCTCCCCATAGCTCTTAACAAATGGGTTACCTCCCTTCTGTTTGAAAAGAACTCATCCTGGATGAGACAAAAAAAATTGACCTTCATCTTAAGCAACATTTCCTGAGTGCCTGATGTATGCCATACTGGGGCTTGGCTTTGGGAACACGAGGTTTTGTAAGACAGTCCGGGCACCCTCAAGACTACCACCTTTGTGGAGAATGAAGATCTGCAAATGATACAAATGGAAAGGAACTCAGTCTTCATCCAGGCCACTACAGTCCAGCCCGTGGACACTGCCCAAAGTCCAGCCTTGATGGATAATGGCTTAGATGCCTGGATGTGGACAAGGAAGGGTATGGATTTTGAACCTGGCATTCCTGTCAAAGTCCCCGAAGGAGACAAGGGTGAGTTGTCCTGAGTGGCTTGGAGAAAAGAGCGTGTATGAATGGAGTGTGGCCAACGGAATGCCCTTCTTTCCTTCTTTACCTAGTGAGGACTTCCCTGGGCTGGAACTAAGGAGAATTAGGGAGGGGATCGGCATAGAAGGGAAGGCTGGGCACAGCCAGTGGAGGGTCTTGTTGGATAAGGACTGTGGACTTCATGCCATGGGTAGTGGGGCATCAATGTGGGCTCTAAGTGAGTGATAGGTTGTGGAGTGAGTATCATAAACACTCTGGCTTCTGTGTGTGAAAAGGGGTTGAATAGGATGATTCTGGAGGCAGCCAGGAGTTGAAGGTGGAGTTCAGGTCATTTCAGGGCACGGGGAGGAGCAATGGTTCACCTCATCTCACAGTAATGAGTCCATTCTGACTTGGAACCTTCTAGAATCCATTTTGGAGTGAGGGATTGGGAGAAGGGCTGAGAGTCTTGGGGGGACCTCAGTGCTGAAAAAGCATGTGTCCCACTTCCAGGCACTAGGTGACTGCAAGAATAGTGGCTTTTCTCTTTCTCAGAGAAGCCACTTTGCTGGAAGCAAGGAGCAAAGGGTGGGGCCTTATGTCAATCATATTTGACGTCTGTCATTCCAACTGCGACACTAACACCATCCTATTCCCAGTGTGCACTGGTGTGATCTCTCAGTGTGGGTCGATTGTGAATTTGTCTGGGATGGGGTTACTTTAACTTGACATTCCAAGAGGCGTGCAAACATCCATGGGGGTGTGCTTGCTACACATCACTTAGTTTCTTTTTTTAATTAAAAGAAACAGCTGCTCGACAGATTCCACTTGGGCAAGAGGCAGTCCTCGCATTAAATTCAGGATACTCCAGACACTGAGGTCCACTTGCCAATCGTTTGGACCATGGGCTGGTGTTTTGGCCCAAGGAGGAGCAGCTGGCCGTCCCTGCCGAGCTGCGTTCCAGGTGTCTAGGAGAGATGGCCTGGAGCCAAGGCTGGAGTGGCATGGTGAAACTAAGACTTGGAGTAGGAAGAAAGGACAGGAAATAATCTCCCGAATGGTGCAGGCCCTATTCTAGGTGTTTACATCCATTAACTCACTTAATTCCCACATCAGCTCACTGAGGTGGGGATAATCACTCCAATTTCACAGATGGGGAAACAGATTTGGAGAGGGAAAGTGGCTAGTTTGTGGTCATTTGGGTGGTGAATGGAAGTGCAAGGAATGGGCAGGCACAAACCCCTCTAGAATAGGGGTGTTTCCAAAATGGAGCACGGCAGGGAAGAGGAACCAGGTGTCGTGGGCCTGAAAAATCACATACAAATAGGACCAGAAAGGGAGTTAGGAGTTGGAACATCTACTGGGAGCACATTCAACATCCAAATGCAGGTCACTTGAAAATGCGTCCAGGCTCTTTCTGTGTGTCCCAGAGAGAAGAGCCAGCTTTGAAGGGAAGGAAGTCCAGAGCAGTAGTGTTAGTTCAGCATAACCACCGAAAATGGATTCCTTTGTCAAGTCCTGCTTTTGGACAGAGCAATATTATTGGATAATGCATGCCTTTATAGAACAAAATGGCTGGATCATGAGGTTAAACTGGAAACATACTTATGATTTCTAAGTTGCATTTGGGTTATTTATATTTGCGGGTCTTGACAGACAGCATTAATGCATATTAATATTCCTGCCATCAAAACATTACTCAAGCCAGAACTTCTGGCTCTGGAAAGAGTGAGCAGTGTGCACACAGTGACTCTGCTAATAGAAAGGTTAACTTGTATTTCTGAATTATTGATGGTTGCTTGTTACTAATTTTTTTTTCCTCAGAAAGGAGGAAATTATTAATGAAGAGATCATTGCCAATGTGTCTGACATCTATTAATGGTTTCATCTTGCGACCAGATTAAAAGAGACAGCTGGTCCATGAATTTATGCGCAGCGGCTGCTTCAATGTGCTAACAACGCGGCGGAGGGCGGGGCACACAGGCGGCGGGGGGCGGGGCCTGGGCATCGCGGGTAGCTCTCTGCCAGGGCACAGCCTCTGTGGAAGCCCTGTCAAGGCTTTGCTGCAAAGGGATTAGGCAGTGGATGGGTTATCACTCTCCTGACATTTCCTTCAAACTCTTTTGTTACCCAGGGGGAGCCCATTAACACTCTTCCTGTGCCAGTCACTTGTTGGCACATCCTGGGTGTCTTAGAACAGGGGTTTTCCATGCATCAGGATCACTTGGATACCAGGCTGGCTAAGACAGATTCCTGGGTCCCAACTCCAGCATTTCTGATTCACCAGGATGGAATTGGGGCCTGAGAACTTGTATTCCCAGGTGATGCTGATACTCCTGGTCCAGGGACCGCACTTTGAGAATCAGTTTTAGACCAATGGTTGTCAGATTGTGCTCTGAGACTTTCTGTAGAGGAGGGATCAGTAAACATTTTCTGTAAAGGGCAAGGCAGTACATTTTTCAGCCAGATTTATAGGCCAGATGAAGTCTGTAGTTCAGAGAGCAGCCCCAACAGGCAATATGTGAATAAACAGGTTGTATTATAAAAAGACCCTTATTTATAAAATGGGTAGTGGACCAGATTTGGTGCATAGGCTGTAGTTTGCTGACCCCTGCCCTAGAGCAGCCCTAACAGAACTTTCTGAAAAAAGCAATATGCAAAATAACGTGCTTGTTCAGTACATACAACTTTATAAGGTAGGTGTGGGCCAGATGAGGCGCAGAAGTTTACAGACCTCTGCTCTAGAGTAGCATGAACAGTTTTCTGTGATGATGGAAATGTTCCATAGTTGTGCTGTCTGATATGGCGGCCACTGACTACAAGGGGCCACTAAGTAATTAAAATATGGTTCGAGCGACTAAGGGCTGAAATGCTAAATTTTAAGTGGTTTGTGGTTATCTGTGCCTCAGCAGGAAGACAGAAGGCTCCAATGGAGCAGCCACCCTGTGGCATATGAAGTGACCCTTGTCAGCTCCCTACACAAGCCTCTGTCTTCCTTGGGTCTCAGTCTCTTCTTGTATGAGATGGAGATCAAACAACAGCCTTGTTACCAGCCTTTCCCCAGGGTTAAGTGAGCCACCTTGGTCTTCCTCTGGTGCTCCACTCCCCACTGGAGGGCTGACCAGCACTGGGGCAGGTGGGGCAGGTGGGGCAGGGAGACGGAGGCCAGAGCCATGTCCTCTGCCTGCTTCTCTTTGTCCAGTCTCCCCACCAGACTGTAAGCTCCATGAGGGCAAAGGTCCCATCTTTTGTTGCAGCTGCAAACCCACAGCCCTGGCACATGATAGGCAGACTGGCATCACACCTGAGAGGAACACTCTGTGTTTTGGGCTTCAAAATTGCTTCGATAAAGAGATCCACAGCTAAACCTCACTCCTGTCTTGCTTCCCAGAACTGAGAGGGAAGCCAAGATGCAGACAGGGAAACTGAGCCCCAGAGAGGTCCTGCCAAATGTCTCATGGGGTTAAGGGCAGTTTGTTCCCAGGTGGTGCTGATAAGAGGACAAGAGGCCTGCTGGTTGGGCATCACTGGAAGAGGATGTGCCATGCTGCCTCTCCAGCCATCCCAAAGCCATTCCAGGGCCCCAAGCCCTTCCTTAAGCATTGATGCTGAGCCCAGTCCTGAGCCAGAGGCCAAGATGAAGTCATGGTGCAGCTCCCTGGGCTCAGGAGGGCAGAAGAGCACCTGGGATGCTTGTGCAGGAGGGTGTGAGATGCTGTTGGATCTCTGTGACTCCCTTCCCTTGAGAAGCCATCAGAGCAGCTGTGCTTGAGGAGCCCTGGCCTTGTGCCAGCCCTCTCTCTCCCTTCATCCCCCAAACCTCTTTGCCTAGAAGCCCTATGTGAAATGCCCAGGTGCCCTTTGGGAACTCGGTTCTGTAGAGCAGACCAATGAAGAGATGACAACTCGTAGTGGCCAGTGCAGGGGTCTTGGCAACACACTATGGGCAGGAAGGGGCTGCTGGCCAAAGTTTCAAAAAGTATCCTTAAGGACCCTGAGTTTACCAGGGAAAAAGGATGCAGGACGGGCCTTCCAGGTAGAGGGCTGGCAGGTGTAAAAGCATGGTGGTGAGGCTGGATGCCAGAGCCCTGCCAGCAGCAGGTGGGAACCCATACTCCTGAGGAGTAGGGAGGGGAGGAAAACAGAAAGCATGAAGGTAATGGTTCATGACCACGTACCTGGGAAGGTAAGGCCAGGTGCCCCACCAGGTCCTGTTTTACCAACTTGGTCACCACTGAAATGGACTTTTCTCAGGGCTATGGATCCTATTCAGATCTGGAACCTTCCCCTGCAGTGATGCAGCATCCCTGGCGTGTGGGCGTAGGAGGGTGGGGAGGGCATATGCTGGGGAGATGCTGTGAGGACTGCTATTTTATACTTTTTCCAGAAAGTCAGAGAGGGAATGAACTGGCAGGAGCCCTAGGAGCTGGGACAAGTTACAACAGCAACACCAAGCTCCTTAGTGGCTTTTCTGCCTGGTTAAGCCCTGGGATCAGCTATGCCTGGGATTGCAGCTTCCTGGCTGGGGTCAGGCCTTTTCTCAGAGGCTATCTAACAACTGCCCAAGGTAGGGCCTGGGGGAGGGTTTAATGGAGCAAAGATCTGGCAGTGTAGCTCTGAGCAGAAGGCATCTTCCCATTCCCTTGGTCTCCAAGGGCCAATCATTGCCATGTCCCTGGAGCCCTGGAGAATAGCACAGAAGCTGGCACATAGTTAAGTGCACCATCAATATTTGCAAAATTATGAAGAATCTCCAAGGCAGCATGTAAAAGGTCCAACTCTTAGGCTTCCCCCATCAAACTGTAGTATTCCAGTTTCCAGGGGCAGGAGGCTGGGAAGCGGGACTGGGGACAGGGTCAGGGAGTTCTTTGCCCAGGCAAGTGTGGGAGGCACTGGCTAGTCCAACAGGCTAATCAAGCGCCTCTCTTTATAAAAGTGGGAGTTGTGGTGGTGGGGGAGTCCAGAGAGGACAGCTGATGCTTGGGAGAATTTACCTGGGGTTACCATTGTGGGGTGGGGAAGCAACTGGACCTCTGGTTCCACATCACCTAGAGGGAACTGGGGTAGGAGAGAGGCCCTATGGGCCATAGCAATTCCAGCACAGAGCCCAGGTACCCCACTTCTGCAAACCCTGGCCATGCCTTTCACGTGACTCCCCACAGTCCACCCAGTCCAATCTTTGAGACCCCAACAAAGATGGGAGGAGGTGCTGCCATTGAAAAGAAGGAGCTTTGGCCAAGTGACAAAGTATTCACCAAGTGGGAATCCCTTGAGCATTTCTGGGTGTCCCTATCCCTTCTTTTACATCCCAGGCTCACATCCAAGACCCCGTGGCACCCAGTCTCCTCCATGGGATCCTTGCCCCAGAACATCAGAGGAACTGCCTGGGTCAGCCCCTGGGATCAGCTATGCCTGGGACTGGTGGTGGTGGGGGGTGTCAACGGAGACTCTGAGCTAAGGTTTGAGGCTTTCAGTTCCAACCAGGTCTTTGTTCAGATCCAGAAGAAAAAGGAAAAAGAGCTAGCGGTTCAGTCTCTTAAGAAAGGGAGGGGGAAGGCGGCCAGAGAGAGAGAGAGAGAGAGAGAGAGAGAGAGAGAGAGA